CCCCCCCCCAGCCCCCCTCGCAGGGCGCCCGCCCGCCCCGTCCTGCCCGCTTCAGTCGGAACCAAGACTCCAGCAAGACGCCAAACGAAGCCCCCCCCCCAGGTGACCCTCCTGCAGCCGCGAAGCCCGCCAGATCGCCACAACCTTCCGAAGGTTTCCTGGGGCTGTTCCGCCGACTCGCCTCCTCCTCCTCCTGGGCCCCCTTGCATACACCTTCCAGCCACCCCAACATGAGCAAAGGCCCCAATTCTGACAAGCAGGGAGGGACAGGCGGCTTCGGGAGCCCCCCCCCCCCGGCGCAGGGGCTGGGCTGCAGCCCTGCAGTCGAAACTCCACTCCCGACCCCGGGTTCAATCCCAGGTCGCCAGGTCAAGGTTCACTCAGCCTATGCAGCAGCTCACTGGGAAGCGAGAGAGGCAATGAATAGGTCGCCTGCCCCGTGGAGCGGTAAATCGCCAAGAGAAGGGTTTAAGCGCTATGGGGTGGCAGATAAGCAGCATGCTTTTGCTTTTGGACAGAGAGGGTCTGAGCATCTCTCTCGTGGCCAAGAGCTTCTGCCAGATGTCCACTCCAGAAGCCCTCTCAGTCGGCGACCATCAACCCACACATCTTGTGGCAGGGAGTTCCTCTGGCCAACAAAGAAGCAGCGCCTCTTTTCCTTCGTTCAAACCCCATGGCTCATCGGCTCAGTGGTCCTTCCCTGATGCTGGGACCCCTGAGAGCGGGGAGACCATCGCTAGCCACTCTTGCTCCCTGGGTCCCCCTGCGAGTCCGTTCCTGCCCCAGGGGCCCGAATACCTTGGAACGGGGCAACCCCATGCCTTTATTTGCTTCGGGCCTGCCCTGACTCTTCAGTAACCCCGGAGAACCTTCGCCTTCCCCAGTCTTCACAGAAGCACTCGCATATACCCTTCGAACCAGTGGCAGCCAGTTCCGCAGGCGAGCCCTGGAACGCGCGCCTTCCGAAGCCCGGGAGGGGGAGGGCAAGGGAAAGCTGCCGGCGCCGCTCTTCGGCGCCATACGGTAG